GGGGCGCGCTCGGGGGGCCGCCGAAGCGTGAGGGGTTTGTTGGTGTTGCTGGGGTTTGGGTTTGCGTTGGGTGTTTTGGGGGCACCGTTGCACCGTTCCGTTCTGCGTCTCGCTCTGCTCTTTTCTGACTGTCAGTGCACTCGGCAATTTTCATACGGGTTTAAGATTTTCAGTGTGTTGGGGAAAAAAAAAATCTTGCCGATAACGTAGTTCTCTATATAGCAACCACCCAACCCGAAAGACGATATGAAGTAGCCTGTAGTCATAGTTGAAGAAAAAATTGTGGCCTGTTTCGATGACTGTTTTAAGTCTTCAGTGGTGTGTTGTTGAAAAGCACAGGCAATGTTTTGGCAGTTAGAGTTTTTTAAAATAAAGTTTTTTAATGAACCCCTTGAAAAGATTTTTGCTCCAAGAAGTGAGCGTGTGCTCTATGGAGTTACAGGCAAAGAGGAGAGGGAGATGATCCAGGGCTGTGTGTTTTGTTTAATACAGGTGTGTTTTGCGTTTTTCAGTTCGGCAGCTTTGCCGGAGTTTGAGGCGATACGCATGAGATACGTTGCAGGTATTACTCTGGTTTTGATACGTGAAAGCGTGTCATGACTCTTACAATATTTGGTATCACCAAAGATCTGACTTCTGGTTTTACATCAGCATCGATCCATGGCTTTCCCTGAATAACAAAGATTTTCATCCGCGTTTCCTATTTGAATCCCAAGGCTCCAAAAACAAATGAGTACTCTAAGCTCATTTTCAAGACAAACTGCTTTTTTTTTTTTCTTTTTTAATGCATAGCATTTTCTTTGCTGAGTTGTTTCTTTCTGTGTCACTGTGGGAAACTTCTTAAAAGTGGCCTTATCAAAACCATATTACAGACATGACTATTTCTTCTGGCATTTAAAAAAAAAAAAGACAAACCGCCTTTAAAAGGTATACAGGGAAGTAGTCAGCCTTACCACATGCTTTAAAAGTTTGTCAAGAGGCCTCTGATTCACCATCAGTGTCTGCCAGGAGAGACTGCTCAGTCCAGCTGAAGTCGGTAGAAATCCACAGGCTCCAGTTTTTCTGCTGATGAATCTACGTGCTATTGAAAAACTTGGCATTGTCTTAACGTATGTAAATAAAACTTTGCATGCATGGTTTCTTAGGGACATCCAGAACAAAACAGGACAAAGCAAACTGCAAATACTGAATGCAGGAATCGGTAAGAATAATCAGTTTATTTCTGTCTACAGTGCATACAGTTGGAAGACCGCAGGGTGCTGTTGGTCAGCAGAGGCAGCCCTTCAGGTGGTTTTTGACGTGACTGTAGCAAAAGCGTGCGTATGTTCAGGTCTAGCGAGGAGCTTGGTGGTGGCTGTGTATGCTGAACTTCTGCGAAAGCCGAGTTCTGCGTTTCTCGTGGTTCCAGCTGGGCAGTCTTAGGGTTCTGAGAGGAGGAGTGACAACGCCACAGAAGTAGATTGCATCACTTAAATCCCGACCAACCCAGCCTGTTCCAGCCAAGCAGCTGTCTGTTTCCAAAACACGTATAGCAGTGAATGTCTGTTGAGGACAGTTGCTGCGTGGATTAGACCCTCGAGGTGACCAGTGCCCGCGCAGGTCGGATGCAGACATACGTTGGAATGGAACAGCACAGAAAATGGCAGTGAACGTGTGTGTGGTGACTCAGGTAATGAAGGGGTGGTAGGATATGAACAGCTCTTTGAATGTCTGATTTAGGTCTGTGTGCACAGGAGATGGGTTGTTGTTTGTGCGTAAAGATGGCCTAGAACTTCTGCTTTCAAGCCTGTTGATAGAAAGTCCAGCTCAGGGTGACGAAGCAGTGATACTGTTCACTGAACACGTAAGACTGACTCAAACTGTTGGTTTTTTTCAACTCGGTAAGCCAGTGGGACAGTTTCTGTTCTCGTAGCAGATACTTTCCAGCTACGTAAAATGCCTTGTCCCTAACCAGTGTGAACCCAAGTGCTTTCGGCGGGGCCACCCACGTGGTGGTTGTCAACAGAAAAAGGTAAAATGAATTCAAAAAGGTTTTGTGGAAACTCCGTTTAAGATGTGTGCAGGCTGTGCTCTCTGTCAGTAGCTGTTGTGTCAGCTCGTCGCTGTGGTGATGGCCCGCCTCAGAGGAGCGGGCGGCTGCGCTGGTCCGGGCAGGGCTCGTCAGCTGGCGGTGGTGGGCAGCAGGGGCACAGAACCCCTTGGTCCCAGCCCTCCTCAGTCGCCCGAGTTGGCGTTCGCAGGAAGCGCTGTCGTTTGGCTCTGGCTGCTGGCTGGGTGTCGGCAGTTCCTCCGAGTTCTGCACCCGACAGGCCTCGGAGACGGTCCTCGCTCCTCGCGCTCCAGAGTTCTTGCCTTGGGCTCCTGGTCGGTGATGAACAGGGGTGGGTGCTTCTAATATTTAGGAAGTTTCTCTTAGGTGTGGCATAGTTACTGTATCTTCTTTCACTTTTTTGAGCTCTTCCTGATTGAGCAATAATGTGGTGGATAGATGCATGTGTGTGTATTTATAGGTAAGTCCTACCAAACTCCCTTTTTGGGAGGAGGAAAAACTTTCACCAATAATAAATGGGATCAGCGGTGTTCAGATTTGTTTGATAATCTGAGAAGTCAGTTGTTATTGTTTAGTCTACTGCAGCCTGAAAGCAATATTTGAAAACTTTTTAGGTATCTTGTTTTCTGAGAGTGAAATTGCAAAATACTTGTGCTAAAAATGGCTTTAGATGAGTGCAATTGCTCGTGAAAAATACGAACCCTCTTTGAAACTTTCCCATGACTGGGCACTCGCTTTTCAAGGTGTAACTGATTATTTTCGGGTTGTGTTCAGTCAAGCCAAGAAGCTCAGGACGGGAAGTGAAACAAACAGTGTTAATGTAAGAAAGAGCACTGTAAGAGCTCTGCTAGGTTGACCTACCTTATCTTGTACTGCTTT